GGAGTGAACCACACCACGGTAGTCAAAAAACACTGTCAGCATCACCTTGATTTTGGAGCAACTTTGCCGCGGGTTTTTGGGTTTCGGCTCGTTTTCGAGACGCCATTCTGAAGACTGTTGGCTTGTTTGCATACCGTACTCATAAACCCATGTCTCGTCGCCAGTTATTATACGTTTCATAAAGGTCGGATCCGTAGAAGCTCGGGAAACCATGTCTTCAGCGACATGCTTTCGCTGCGCTCTTTGAACAAAATTGAGCTCTTTTGGAACTAATCGAGCGGCGACGCGTTTCATGCCTAAAATGTCAATGAGAATGTTGTGGACGGACTTAAAAGATATGTTCACCTCACTAACCAACTCTCTCAGACTCATACGTCGATTTTCGAGCACTAGCTTCTTGATTTTGTCGATGTTTTCTTTGGTCGTAGCGGTTGAAGGTCTACCAGAACGAGGCAAGTCTACTACTACTTCTCGGCCTTCTTTAAAAGCCTTATACCATTTATAAGCCCTTGTTTTCGATATTCAAGATTCGCCGTAGGTATTTCGCAACATTTTTAGTGATTCACCACATGAAATATCATTCGAAACACAAAATTTAAGGCACACTCTTTGTTCAACAATATTTTCCATTGTAAAAATCGCCGAGAACTCAAAACTATGACCAACAAAAAGTGTAGTTTAAAACAAATTAAATGACAGATCCCGCTCAAACTTTGCGCGCTAAATCAGTACAGTGCTACCAACATGCAGTAAAAAAATTAGAACGACCTCTTTTACGCGGGTCTTTTTATTGACATATTCCCGATACTTTTTACACAGAGTAGTACAATCACCCAAGAGAGAAACCTAGGCGGCAGGTTGTCAAAATTGTTATTTTAAAAGTCAGTTCTAAAGAAGTAAATTAAATAATAATTCTTGTTTCTATTAAAAAAATTAAATTAACATTATTCGATAAAATTAAATATGTAAAAATAAATAGTGTAAAACTTCCTAAAATAACATAATTATAACGTTTGATTATTGTACTTCTTTGTTTCATTTCTGTTCGAAACGTTAATATAAATAAACGTTACTCGGAAAAATTACGATAATATAGATATGTAAATAATAAACGCGAGTTACGCAACTCGAGTTAGCAGAACGAAACAGAGTAAATGAGTTGTTACGAATTACTTTTTATAAATTAGTTTTTTTTAATCTAATTTATGTTCCTTAAAAAGGGTTAACATATTATATAATTATCGTTTTGTTTGCTCGATCCATCGCTATGCTGTAGTGTAATAAGTCTATGGCTTGATCGCAGTTTTCATAGAAAATCTTTCATTCTAATATTAAAAAGGATCTAGTGATGTTTCTTATATTCATGTCACACTGCTTTGGGTTCGAGACAGCGCAGTGGACGCACCCTTCGATAACGCCTAACACGCACGCACGCATGTACGCACGCACGCACGCACGCACTGACTACGCACGCACGCACGCACGCACGCCTCTTCTTAAAAGTTAGTTGGTGCCTGAGATTATGGGTCCACGCTAGGTACCGGTCTAGGATATGTGACTGTATACTTTGTTCATTTTCCTAACTTTTAGGTTCGACACTGGGAATAATACAGCGATTTTCTTGAAAATTCCTGAGAAGTGTGATAACCGGGGAACTTTTTGAATCTTGATTTTGAACCGAAGATATTTCAAAACTTAACTGTAGTGGAAATTCCGAACGAACTGCGAGCTGATTGTTGTCTCCCGCAAGGGCTTCTTAGGCCCTACAGGTCTCGGGCCTCAGGGTATGCCCCATTACTCGGACTGTCCTCACGGCCCACTACTATCGGCCGGTCCTGGGAGCCTTATATAAGGCGTTGTTAACATATCCGGTTTTTGTCCGTAATCGGTAAAAATTTTTGTAGTCAATTGCGCTACGAAAAAAGTTGGTTATCTATTACAGTCTGAGTTGGCCTGTCTGTGGCATTGTGGATTTTACTCAACTATCTAATCTATGTAGAGAGGAGTTCTCTTGGATAGGGTCGCCCGTCCAGGGGGCGAGTTTGTAGCGGCGTAAAGTTGTTAAGGTGTTCATGTGGCCCGTTGTCAGCGCGGTTGAACATGTCGCGCGCCAGCTGGACCACAAATTCGTCAAGGCTCTCGATCTTGAGGTTGGCCGCTATGACGTCATTCCGGACGTAGCGACCCGCACTGACTATGGTCCGTAATGTCAAATTCTGCTGGGCCTGCAATCGCCGCTTTTGTCGATCGCTCAGGAGCGCATACCAGGAGCAGTGTATGTTAGTATAGGTCTTATATACATTTTATATGTGGTGATCTTCGACTTAGTCGGAGGTCGGCGGAGGCGTCTTAGCAGCAATCTTTCGAACAGTTTAACTATGTGCGGTAGCAGCGTGATCGGCCTGTAATTGGCAGCTCTACGCCTGTCCTTCCCGGACATGACGATGATTTTGCCTTTCTTCCAGTCCTCCGGGAAGAGGGATGTCCGCAATATGCCATTGTAGAGTCGACCAATCTCTACAAGGACTCTGTTGGGCAGCTGTTGGAGTGCAGCATTGGTAATCCCATCGTGCCCCTGCGCCTTCCTCGGTTGCAGGCGGGTTACTGTCCTCCGCAGTTCGGCAGGGGAGATTAACCACTCTCCTGCAAGCGGTGGCGCGGGCAACGACAGGAACTCCTGCACGCGGCTCTCTTTCCGGGTATGGATTTCCACGAACTCCGCTCTGCCCTTGGCATCGTAACGTCGCTCACCCGCATTGTTGGTCAGTTTGTGAGTTTTCGTTAACTGCTGGTTCAATGAGTAGAGCGACGCTTGGTGTTCGTCTGCTTTCCAAATGCGCCGCTCCCAGGCCTCTCCTCTGTGGGCCTGGATTGCAACCGACAGTTCGTCCGTTAAGGTGTTCAACTTCGTTTTCAGTCTGGGGCAGCGAGTGCGCGCCCAGAGCTTTCTCAGCACTCTTTTGTGTTTCAGCTGCACGCATATCTCTCGCGGCAGCTCGTCCTCTTTTCCCGAGAGAGGGACAATCGTAGAGGCCACGTTAAGGGCCTCCTGGATGCTCTTGGAAATTCTGGTTGCAGCGGCGTCGTCCGCTGAGTGGAATGGTGCGTGGACTGGAGGTCTCTCCTGCAGGTGTTGGTGGTGGAGCCTTCAGTCGATCTTGGTCTTAACGGCTCTGGGCGGCGTAGTCACTGCCTTGGTGCCAAGGATAATATTTATGATGTAGGTCTTTTCTCTCACTAACAAAATGGTGTGAATCCTTTGTGTGTGTTCTGGTATGTCCTTTCGGTGGTGACAGTATTTTTGCCTAGTGTTGCATCTAAAAGTAGTATTATTAATTAAAAAAACCCTACGGTATTTTTAAATTTTTAAGAACTCGGACGTGCGTACGGGTCACTAACTTGGTCGACAATGATATCGTGATTCATAGCGTCACTTCATATGCTAGCTACAGCAAGTATGTGTTGCGCGCGTTTGTAGCCCTGTATGCGGAATCTATTAGGAGGTAATCTGTGTTGTGACCTAACATTTTAGCGGAAGTGTAGTTGATGTATTGCTGTTTTGTGAAAATGTGATGAAATTAACTATGTTCGAAGGAGTTACTCCAACAGCTGGTTTCTTGAAATTAATTAATTCATTCATACTTTTATTATAATAATAGGTAATCTTCTTTAGTTGAATGTTTGCTGGTAAATTTTAGTGCTTCTTCAATGAATAATAATGAAAAATTATCGATATCAATCCGCACATCACAGTCACATCACACATCTATATGACACCATTTTCAATTAAACACTCTACCTCATAGTTGTCGTGTGAATTACTATAGTAAACTACTCTAAAATAATCTCAAATTTAGATATTTCTGGTACCAAATAAGTCGAAAACAAAAATATGTAAAGTGGTTTGTGACCTAACTTTGAAATTAATGTGATATTTTCATATAACATTAATTTCAAAGTTAGTTTTCGGTCACTCCTTGCCGTCAGCTTTCTCTTGATATCCAGGTGCAACGCAAGGTGACGCAAGGCTTAGAGAACATGATGATACATGAACATATGATGTAAAAGTTTATTTAAATATTATAATTTGAATCTTACTATAATTTGAAAAAAGGGACGTATAAATGGTTTTTGTTTATTAAATATCATTAACCGTTGACTAAATGTTACCCAGTTTCATATTTAAAATAAAATAAAAATACGTTTTAGTTAATATTTAAAGCTTTCTTTTCATTTTAAATTAGATTACATAACTAAGCCACGCGATCATTTACGTTTTTTATAAGGCGTTACTCTAAGGTTAAGTAGCTTTGTTACACTTTTATTGTTTAGTCTCGTAAGGAGTACGGTTGTGCCTGCGTGTTCAATTTTAAACCTAATTTGTAATATATGTGGGTTGACTTAAAAAAAATATAACTAGTCTCGTGGGGAGTGTGTTTATTACATTTCGATTATCACTACAATTTTTATGAAATATTATGTACTCGATTATTTTATCGGTATAGTTCTCGATTTTTATTTATTCATATTATTTTAAATGATTGTAATAGAAAGAAAGCATATATCACAATAAAAATACCTTCATATGGAATATAACTCCATATTTTTTTTGAAATACTAGACTCTTCTTTTTGCACACGTTAAGCGCACATATTGGCATTTTTAAAAGAGCACTTACGAAACGATTATTGTAATGACAAAATCGATTCCGTGAACAGTTTTTATAAACACTCAAGATTTTAAATTCAATACCTCCGCAGAGGGGAATAATCATGTAAGGCGAGTCCATTGGGTTGAATGGTCTAAGATAATACATATTTTATATGCGCCTAGTTACCACTATTTATGGTTTTAATTTTTTTAATATACCTATTGGTGCGTGTATCCGAATCAACAAAACACCAGAAAAAAAAATAAAGTGACACGTCCACCCACCCTGTCAAAAGTTCCACGGTTACATTGGTTCTGCATGACAATTTTTCATGTTTTAACTTATAAGAATGGTAAGAATTATTCTTATAACATAATAATACGCAATATAAAGTGCTCATTCATACTGCAATCCGCAACTGTTGTCACTACGGCCATATAGTTCATTATGTCGGTGGTGTCATCATTCATGATATGTCGGCATCCCGTCTTCGTGACGATTATATACTTTGTTTTTTGATATCAGTGTATTGTAGTGTAGTTCTAATGTGTTTTATTATGTTCTCTAAGCCGTTGCGCCTGGATATCAAGAGAAAGCTGACGGCGAGGAGTGATCGAGTAAAATGTGTAGACCAACATCCTACAGAACCGTGGCTTCTATGCTCACTGTACTGCGGAGATGTAAACATATGGAACTACGAGACCCATATACAAGTCAAGAGATTTGAGGTGATACAATGGTCACAGTTTATTTCAAAAAATCATATGGTTACTTACTTTAGTAGGTATATCATTGTATCTGCACTATTGGAACTGAATTTATATATTCAGTTATAATATTATAATAATTCCTTGAGTTTTTTCTAATTTTTAATAGCAAGATTTTATTTTACCCTTATTTAATGATATGCATGTTTGATTGACTTCATTATGGTTTTAAAATTGTTTATTGAGTTGGTACATATTCTTTATGACTTTTTAAACAGTGACAGTAGGTAATATGTGCAAGAAATTTTTAAGATTTACTCAATACATACTAAAAAATATCTCACATTGATGATGGGTAAGTATGCCAGTATTTAGATGTCTGAATAAAAAATAATGATAAATATCACTGCATATTATTATTTACAAACTTTAATACTTACATTTATCAGAGAAATATTGTTTAACTGATATTGTGTATGATACTCAGTATTGGGATATTAATTTATGCATGATTAAGAGTTTATTATTAAGGTTCAACCAGTGATGCAACAAATACTACTTTTACAAATATGAATATACATATCAAATCTACTATTCGGTGAATATGAATATGAATATCTTGCCATGGTAGTGAAAACTAATTTATTTGATGATGTTCTATTTTTCTTATAATTAAAATTTACAACAGGCAATTTATTATTTAAAAAACATAAAATTTGTAGATTTTCTGATTTTAGGCAATTTTTTTCAGTTTGGATGTTCTCAGCTGTTAAAAAAGCCTTTTTGAGGCGACTGTACATGGTTTCAGTGAAAATTATTTTTGATCGAATATTCATATTCATATTTTTTGCATCACTAGTCTCATCTATAACACTGTACCAATTTATAGTGTCCTTATTACCCAATATTTTTTTTTAAATTATTTTTATTATTATATTTTAATGAAAGAGAGAAGAGTTGTAAATAAATAATTAATGAGTATTATTTGCTCTATGAATTTAATATTTTAAAAGTAATAATTAAAAATACAAATGTGAAACCCTTTCACCTATTTGTTAAGCAATAAAACTACTATCTTGGATCTATTACAAAATTAGCCTATGTTAGATATTTAGTTACCAAATGCATTTTAAAAGTAAAATTAATATCTCAATTTTTTTACAGTCAAACATTTGGCTATAGTTTGAAAATATTGTATCCAACTAGAAGTAGTGTGGGTGAACCAGTCCCACACCATGAACCTGTAGTAGACCATTACAATCTTCATACCTAATTATTATATAACCTTCTTTTGTCCCACACCATGAACCTGTAGTAGACCATTTCAATCTTCAAACCTAATTATTATATAACCTTTTGTCCCACGCCACGAACCTGTAGTAGACCATTTCAATCTTCAAACCTAATTGTTATATAATCTTTTGTACCACATCATGAACCTGTAGTGAACCATTTCAATCTTCAAACCTAATTATTAATCTTGTTTTGAATTTTCTAACATTTTTTTTATGTTTGGTGGCCTATTTAAATATATTTCTACCAATCATGTAATCATAACTAAAAGCGACACATGCCATATGTTTCAGTAAAAAACAAATAATACAAAACAAAAACCTTTCACTTCTGGATGCCCATATTAATAAGTACTCATATGATAGAAACTTATATTAATTCTTTAAATCTTTGTTTATATTAATGATTTTAACAATACATATACTGTCATATGTCTTATTTTATCAAAAATTCTAATTTAATTGTCATTGGTAAACCATTGGAACAGGAATTCTATGATTTTCCAGTAATATTCTATTTGGTTAACAACTGGTGATAAAGCTATTTATTACATTTTTTTACATTTATATGCACATAATTTAATACACTGCCTTTAGTAAATTCTTCAAAGAGTTCACAATGTTCCAGTTTTTGACCAGTGGTTTATTGCTGGTACTATCTATACTACAAGTTTGTTCCGGTAATTGACCATCCACACTTTTTCTACAGACACAATGTCACCGAATTTTTTTTTAATGTAAGGAGGAAGATGTCATAAAAGCGATAGACAAGATAAGTACGGGTGCTAAGTTAGAGAAACATGTCAAAACTATAATATTGCTCACAAAACTGTTATAAATAAAATTAAACTGAAAAATAACATTATGACCCTTGTAGCATTTAAGAATTACTTGAAACTTATAGACTGATTTAAAATTTTGATGCTTACTGATTACAAAACTTAATTAGGTTCATTAGTATTAATAATAAAATTATTCTTCATTAAAATCATTCGTTAAATTAACTGTTTCACTATTTGGCACAATATCTGGTCTATTATTGGTACATTCTGGTCCACCTTACGGCAGCTCTACACATTGGCCAACACAGTGGCGAATGTAGTGGCGAAGATATTGGCCAATATTTTGTGATAGCATCCAAACGTTGGAAGGTCGTTCAGTTTGCTTCGGTTCGGGCCAATGTGCGGACAAATTTATTTTATTTTAGATGACGGCTCCGTGACACAGTGGCTTAGCAATGAGAGGCTGCGCCAGGGGGCGTGGGTTTGAATTCCGCATGGAACAAGTATTTGTATGTCCTACAAGTAATTGTTCTGGGTCTGGATTTTGTTATCTGATGATAGCTTTATTTATTCCTTACATGCATCATAAACTGGAATAAAAACCATTAATTAGAACTAAACTTATTTTAAAGTTAAAGAAGTTATAATCAATTCGTCTATGTTTTAAAATTGGGTTTTGATTTTAAAGTTTAGCAAAAGACGTACTTGCTTTTCTATCAGACATTCGATGTATATAAAACACCTTATAATTTATTTGGTAATTTAATTATTTTTTGAGAAAGTCAAAAACAAGCAATAAATATAATTGACACTGACTTAATAATAGGTACAAATTATAACTTATATTGAACATAAATAAAAAAACTCATGACAAAGAAAGTGGCTCAGACACTGATGATGATGATTCGAAAATTCGGAAATTCGATGATTCGAAAATTCGAAAACTTCAGTAAAAAGGGTCTCCGGTTCTCTACACTCACCATATGAAACACAGCAGCATTAAGCTACTATTTTACGCTGGTATTCTGTGAGAGCGTGGTTCTTACCCGGTTGAGCCGACCCATTTGTGCTACAACTATACTTCTAATATAATTGCAGCATGGCTCTACTATGTATAAACAATGTGCTTCATTCTTTTTTTCATTTTAAAATTGTTCTCGTAATTATCTGATTGAAAATAAATAATCATTATATTTTTACAACTATATTTTAACAAATGTTTAAAAATAAATGAATCGCGCTAATTAAAGTAGTAGGAATGTTTAATTTTTTTTTAATTTTTAATTTAAAAAAAGAATATTAACAATGCTATAAACATTACTAATATTCCCCTTAACCACTCGTGGTAAGCTTAAATTGCTTGTGTTACGAGTGGTTCACGCCAGTAGTCGAATGGTGGATTCGAACTCACGAACTTTTTTTGCTCGCGGTCCGCGCCCCGCCATTAGGCTACTGTCGCTTCTGTTTAAAGTTGAAATTGGCACTAAAAGGCTAGTAATTGGGGCATCCACCCTACAAAGCGTGAATATAAAATTTAAATCAGATGCGTGTAATCACTCTGGGAGCTTGTAGCAAACTAAACGCGCGCCCAACGTGTGGACGCGGCGGCCAAACTCTGCCAACAATTCTTTGATCTTTTGTAAAAACCGACACCATACGGATCTCGCGCCAGCTTGTGGGCCATCGTTCCAATACATACCAATGAAGCCCTAACACCCGCTCTACACGTTGGCCAACACTATTGGCCACTACATTCGCCACTGTGTTGGCCAACGTGTAGAGGCGCCGTTAGGCACATTGTGACTTGCCACATTCATTTTTAAATAAAAATAAACTTAATAGCCATTAAGAAAATCGGTATAAGCTACATGATTTTATGGTAGATTAGGAGTTCGATTATTTATTTGTAATAAAGAAAAATAAATAATAAAATAAAAATTATTTATTTCTTTAACTTAGGTCTAAAAGCATTATTCTGTGGCCAGAGTCCCCAGGAAGCATGTAGTATAATTGGCTTGTGTTGGGTGACACTGCTCTTCCATTGAACCGAGTATACAATATTTATTTTTGGTGCTTTTAATAGTTAAACTATAAATTTTACAATATTTCAAGGGCTAGAATAATAAATGAATGATAAACTACAGACATTATTACATAGTGCTGCCAAAACTGTGATTCCCTATTAATCATATTCATCTAGCCCTACAATATAAAATCTTGGGATCGGTTAATAACCACTAGATTTTATGAAATTCAATGATTGTTGCCATAATTGAGTCACATAATCAAAATTTGTTTCAGAAAGTCACCTAATTGGTTTGTTACTGGTGCACTCACCCTACTTTTATCCAACAAGAAGTAAAATTTGTTTACATGTATTCTGCACTTTGCCCTTGAATGTTATTGTCGTAGAGCTTTTTATATAATTTTCTTTTTCTATTATGTATTGTATGTTATTGCAGGTGTGTGAATTACCGGTAAGAGCTGCCAAGTTTGTCTCCAGAAAGAACTGGGTGATCACAGGTTCAGATGATATGCAAATTAGAGTGTTCAATTATAATACTTTAGAATCTGTCCATTCCTTCGAAGCTCACTCTGATTATGTCAGATGTATTGCGATCCACCCCACACAACCTTACATTCTGACTTGTAGTGGTAAGTGTTATATGATTCCTGAATTAAACTAACTTTTAATTATTTTTGTGACTTCCTTATTTTAATATTACTGCTTTAATAAATGGTGTTCCTTAGCTCTATTATATTAGTGTTTGTATTTTTCAAGTGTATATAGGCATTAAGAACAGAAAAAAAATATATTAATCATTTATTTAAGCGAAACACCATTAAATAAAGCAATAAGTATGTGTTATTATTTTTATATTGAATAATGTTTAATATATTTTGAGATTAAGCAAGTGTTAATTTAATTTATAGATGATCTGCTAATAAAACTGTGGAACTGGGATCGCAGTTGGGCATGTCAACAAGTGTTTGAAGGCCACACTCATTATGTGATGCAAATAGTAATCAACCCAAAGGACAATAACACATTTGCTAGTGCAAGTCTTGACACTACTGTTAAGGTTAATTATTCTTTCCATATTTGTTGTACTTTTTTACTTCTTTCTCTTATTCTTCATTGTGCTTCATTCCTCTTTTGTTATTTAAATCACTTGATTGAAAGCTGTTTAGTAGTTGCTAAATTTGTTTATCATACCAATAAAAGCAATGAAAACAGTGAATATTATTTGTTTTCCTTTATATAGGTATGGCAGCTAGGTTCCTCCATTTCAAACTTCACACTAGAAGGGCATGACAAGGGAGTAAACTGTGTAGATTATTACCATGGTGGTGATAAGCCATACTTAATCAGTGGTGCCGATGACCGTCTTGTAAAGATATGGGACTATCAAAACAAAACTTGTGTTCAGACCTTGGAAGGTGAGTAAGGACTTGTTGAATGAGTTGTAAGTATAACATTATTCGTTTCTCATTATCTTTAACACATTATTCTTAAAGATAATGAGAAACGAATAAGTATTGTTTGTATTTTTTTGGCTATTAAAATCTTAAAATTTACTAGAGCTAAAATTTATAGTTTGTTAATTAAAATATATATACAATTTTTTCATATCTGTGTTCTTCTGAATAAATCTTTTAAGGATTTAGTATTTTATGAATAACAATGTTCAAAGGTCATGCCCAAAACGTAACTGCGGTATCATTCCATCCTGAGCTGCCAGTCCTGCTAACCGGCTCTGAAGACGGCACAGTGCGAATTTGGCATGCTGGAACCTATAGGCTTGAGTCTTCATTGAACTATGGTTTTGAAAGGGTCTGGGCTATTTCATCTATGCATGGATCTAACAATGTGGCTCTTGGGTAAGACTGGTTTTGTTTTATTTTTAACATAATTGTAATTTTATGCATTATAAGTGTTATAAAGCCTTTTTATGTAATAATATGTTACTTAGATATTTTTAATGTGTAACTGAGTATGAAATTCCAACAGGTATGATGAGGGTACAATTATGATAAAAATAGGCAGGGAAGAACCTGCTATTTCTATGGATGTAAATGGAGGCAAAATTATTTGGGCCAAACATTCGGAGATGCAGCAGATCAATTTGAAAGCCTTACCTGAAGGTACGTTTTTATTTTTATGGTTCAAAATTTAAAAAACACTTGTTTTAACTTATAATTAATGTGTCCTTGTTACAAATTTTATTAAGAAGTTTTGATCTGCAGGTACTGAAATCAAAGACGGAGAACGTGTGCCAGTTGTTGCAAAAGATATGGGTTCCTGTGAGATCTATCCTCAAACAATTGCCCATAACCCTAATGGGCGTTTTGTAGTAGTTTGCGGTGATGGTGAATACATAATTTATACCGCAATGGCGTTAAGAAATAAGGCTTTTGGAACCGCCCAAGAATTTGTATGGGCTTTTGATAGTTCGGAATATGCAACTTTAGAAAACTCCAGTACAGTAAAGGTCTTTAAGAATTTCAAGGAGAGAAAGAGTTTTAAACCGGAATATGGCGCTGAAGGTAAAAAATATTTTGTTGTAGTTTTTGATTTTCAAATAGCATTCATGTAATTAAAACTGTCATATAAAGAAAACAAATGACTGACAGACAAAACTGACACTTTACCTGATGGAGTGGCTACTGTAGCCCATGGGGCACCTGCCAACAAAGATGGCTAAAGTTGCATTGTCATCTTTGTAGGTTTAAATTGAAATTCTCAAGGTCTGTAATTGTAGTGCCTCCCTATAACCTTTGAATCGCAGACAGTGGTAATAGGGTAGTACGTACCTAGACGGACTCCAGGTCAGGAAACCTGATATAGATAGAGAAGAACGTAATATTTTATGGTAATATATTTGCAGGCATTTTCGGTGGTTATATGCTGGGTGTGAAATCAATAAGTGGCATAGCATTCTCCTTCTATGACTGGGAGCATTTGGAGTTGGTTCGAAGGTTTGTATTATTTGATTTTGTTTGAACAGTTGGAAGTTGAAACTAATTTAAGTACAAAATAAACATAATATCTTATATTCTTTGTATTTTGTTATTTGTGACCAATTTGTTATTTTTTTTTAAATTGTTATTTAGAAGATTTTATTCTTGTATTTCTATGATATGACATGTTTTTATTTTGTGATTTCTATTTATTTTTGCTAAATCGTTTATACATATTAACAACTATGTGGTAGAAGTTATAGTAATTATGGATATGAGCTGTTGAATCAGACATGCAGTGGGAATATTTTTCTGTGTCATTATTAAATTATATTTCTTAATCATTGCATTATAATGTTATATTTGCAAAGCACTCTGATGTAACTACCCATATTATATGGTGTGTGGGTATTTATGCAGTGCTTATAATGTATTATTTATTATTTAATATAGCGAATGTTAGTTAAAACGAAAATTTATGTTGCTTGCGCTTTAGAATGTAAGTACATATTATAGTCTAGCGGTTGCATTGCAATATTATTTAAATGATCATTAGTCTATAAGTCTTCATGTCATAGGCAGGGACCTATTTCGAGTTGGGATAATATGAAGTCAACAGTCGCCACCCATTGGATACGCGCTTTGTCCTCTATCCTTTCTCAGATTTTAACTATATCCATAGAAAGAAAAAAAAAATGTGTTATTGGATTTTTATTCTACAGCTAATTTTTAAAATGTTGTGGGCAAATGAATTGCTTCCACAGAAAATAATAAAGAAACAAACGAATTTGAAATGATTGATTTCAGTTCATTAGTAGGCATGAAAAAAAATTTCATTGTTTTACCTTCATGGGTATATTCCTTGCTGAAAGTCGAGTGCAAACTTTCATATAAATCAATCTTGTCATCAGGAACAAGTTTGTTTGTAAAATATATTATATTCTGTACATTGATAGCATTGAGCGTTAGCGAATTTGTAACTAAATAGTTTTATATTTTGTTTGCGAATCTCAATCTTGTAAATTATAGCAAACTAAGGAATATGCAAGAAAATTTATCTAACCTATGAAAATTAAATTTATTAATTTCTTATTTACTTAAAAGTTGTTGTTATGGGTCTGTATTTTCCAAAGTCCGAATTCGAAATGTTGTTGTTTGCGTTCTTTGGGCATCTTGTGAAAAAATATATGAATTTATATATAACAAGGTCATCTTAGTCCTCAGAGGTTTCAATGCATCTGCATTTTTATTCTTAATCGGGGATAGATGTAGATGTTTACAGACCACAGCAGTCACTTATCATCAGGTGAACTGTGTGCTCAATTATACTAATAATAATAATACATTTATTTATTTACCAGAAAATACTTAGCCAAAATACAATAAGTTCTGTGACTCTCACACCAGGCCTGGCCTGTCTGTGTTATTATTCTTCCTTCGTCCTTATTCTATAAAAAATAATTTGTTAAAATTAAAGTTCCAAAATATATCCAACTGCTAGGTACAGGCTTATTCTCATTACTGAAAAGGTTATGGAGTCAATAGCCATCTGCGCTGCTCCAGTCCACAATGTTTTTTTATTTATTATACATGCAAGTACACCAACCAACAAGCTGAGGTAAGATATCTATATATTTATAGAATAAGGATGACAAACAAGCACATAGTCTACCTAATGGCAAATGGATCCTGTGGCCCATAGACATCTACAATTATGCTCAATTAATAATCAAAATGCAGTTGCGTTGTCATCCATGAAGACAGATGGAATACCTTATTTTCGGTAAAAAGTGTCTCGTTTGTCTAGCGTAGAGACACTCACAATACGTACACAGCAACATCGACCGTTTCCCTATCCCATGAATCATTATTATATAAAAAATTCGATTGTTTAACTATTGTGTCTATATCGCGGTCAGGGAACCTGTTAAGCTGCTATTTACGCTGGTTTTCTGTGAAAGCGTGGTCCTAACCCGGTCGAACTAAACCATTTGTGCTACAACGATAATATAGCTGTATAGTGGTTTTGCCACGTAAAAGTAGTACAGAAACCGTTTGTTTCTGCTGCAAACGGTGTCTGCGTTGCTGTTTACCTGTCTAAAGGGTAAAGAAAGCTAGTATATATAGTTATCGGCTGTCAGATATTCCATCTTGATCATTTGTCATTTCATCGATATACCTCCTTAATTTGAATTCAGTGGCAGCCCATGAAGGCTACAGTAGCTACTGGTCATAATGTTTTTCTTAACCGTTACCCCCTACTACACTACTACACACTAGGATTTTCTCCTGTATCGTGGAGGCTGTTTACAAACATAAATTACACAGGGCCAAACATCCAGACCCGGAACATTTATTTGTAGACTATACAAATAATTGTTCCGTGCGCGATTCGAACCCGTGGCCCCCAGCGCAGCAACTCATTGCTAAGCCACTGCGCCACGGAGCCGTTATGGGGACTAGAAGTTCTTTTATCATTTCAATTTTATAAAAAAAAGAACTCAGCTTCAGTGCTTCCAGCAGAAATTGAATTAGGGTTGCTCGCGTACTATAAACCACACTTCGAGCGTTTATCCCCTGACATGCCACTGCTATTTAAAAAAAATATAAATTTTAAATTGCGAAGGTTATATTATTCCAGTTGTGAAAATATGCGAACGCTAACTCTAAAAAGATATGACCGAAAAAGAGCTCAAGTGCCATAGGATAAGATTTATTTACGAAGTACGGGTGAAATGAGCCTGACACCTGATGGTAAGTGGATGTTGTGGCTCATAGACACCTTAATTTATCTTCAAATAAGAATGAAAATACAAATGTTATGCCCCAGATGAAAATTAAAATAATAATTTGAATACTATTTTGTTCCACCTTGAACTATATTAAAGATTTTTAAGATTTGAATGAAGTTAAAAGGGCTTTTATTCTTTTAGAACTGTAAAGTTATTGTGGATATTATTTTATTCCATTTTGTTGCTGTCGATATTTACTATTTATTAAATGTTATAATTTCCAGTTTTAGGTTTGTAGTCGTCATAAAGGTATTAATATTTAATTCGCAACCATCCGCTTAATTAAATACAATGATGTGTCTTACCTGGATTGAAGATCATTAATTCATTGTATTTAATTAAGCGGATGGTTGCGAATTAAATATTAATAACTTTATTATAATGAATTTCCGCAAAGTAACGCCTGATACTGTCAATTATTTTGTAGTCCTTTTATTTTCTGTAATTCCTACATAGAATCGTTCAGGTTCGTTGTGATTACGATCCCTTTCAAACTTCCTTCTAAGACAACATTCAATGCAACAGAAATAAAAACTTTTTATTCAATATAGGTTATAAATAATACTTATTTAAAGACAGTCTTTTGTTTAATTACCACTGGTTGTTATAAACCCCTATCCTGGTAAGAACCAGAAAGAAACTCAGCGGGACATTTAAAAAAAACAGCTTATAATCGTGTTATACAATTAATCTACACAAAACAAATTAGAAATAGCTTGGTAGCGGTCGCCTCACTTCCAGGTGTTATTATCATCCATAAATTTTAGTAAAATTAAAGTATGTTTATTAGTAATGATCTCATGAAACATTACATAGGCCTTCCCTCATCTTCCTTAGTCTTTATTAGCCGGTAAAACGGTTGTCTATTGCTGAGCACAACCTTCTTGCTGCTGGATTTTTTTTTCTCTTTATTAGGGATAACAAACAATTGTACAATATAATCCTATTATTAAACACAATACTATATTTAAGCTTAATGATCATACAATAAACACCGTTATCCACATATACTACTGGGTCTGTGTACGTAACAATTAAAATGAAAATGTACAACAGTGAAAAATGTAAAACAGAGAAAAACAAATTAATTTACACATATGCATGTAAATGTGCACGCATATACATACACATATATATACAAACATATACATACACGCACATACATATACACATATATAGATAATACATAGATCTGAATATTTAAATTTAACCTAAATGAACAATTACATTAAGTTGCATCAAATTCAGATAGAACCTCATACACAGGCTTTTGGTTGCTTGTCATGTTTGGCAGGCTGATTGACTAGAGAAATGTAAATCGCCATCTATTTGAGGCCACGAAATGAAGAAGCATGTCGTACAGTACATCACAGAACTTTAGACAGTACATAAAATTAACTTGTTAATGACTTAAAAATTAAAAATACCCAAAATTGTGTGTTCCAGAATCGAGATACAGCCAAGGCACGTATACTGGTCAGAAAGCGGAAACTTGGTGTGCCTTGCTACTGATGAGGCATATTATGTGCTGAGGTACAACGCGGCAGTGGTGACCCGCGCGCGGGAAACTAATTCCAACATCACGGAGGATGGCATAGAGGATGCTTTTGAGGTGAGCTGGAACAATTTTGTGTTACCTGACCGCTTTAGAAAGAGGGTATCTTTCTGTTAACTGGTCTAAATTAACAAATTTTGAATTGCAAAGCATCATTCAAGTCGCCTAAGCACTTGGCAGTAAATTTCACAGTACGCGAGCAACCCGTAAACGATCCCCACTGACTTCATTAATTTCAATTTTAAGTGCTGATTTACCATGTGTAGTATAATTGATTTGAATTGTGCTTTATTTTCTTTTGGAGTCGTGGGTATTGAAACGTCATAAGTTACATTTTGTTTTTGTTAGTTAGCTAGTTACATATTGATAATAATACCAATATTACGTAAAACAATATACTGATTACGCATTCCAATGAACATGTCTAAGGTTTAAGAATACCATCACTCCATGCTACTTGGGAAAGTTGCATAGTATTCTCAGTGGAAATTTATGTATAGTAAGAAGATTACTAGGCTGCAAGATATTTGAAGAATGGATATCTAACGACATATAGCTATTGTGCTCCGCCTGAAGCACGGAGACAACTGCAGCTCGGGCTGATTATACCTATGAAAATTTTTACGAAATCGTCCTTCCTTATGTCCATTTTTTCTTTACAAGTCATGACTGATTTTAATATTTCTTTCAAGAACAATTTAAGAAGGATTATGGTTATGTCTGTGTAGAGTAAAGTAAAATTACAGCCTATATACATCCCACCGCTCCTCTCACTTCTGAAAGGGTTTTATGGCAAGAAAGTGTCCAACGCGTGGCTCCAATGCATTTTAAGGTACCCACTGACGATACGTCCATTTAGAAGACTTCCAAATGGATGCACTCCAAATGAAAATTTATCCAGATATGGTACCATTGACGATACTTCCATTTGGAGACATCAAGACCCTGGATACTTGATACTTGATAGATACTTCCATTTTTCGCATGTCGTCACTTCGAACTTGGTAGTTGTACGGAACGGAAATAAATAATAATATTAATAATAATACTTTACTGGTGGCAGCAGCAGCGTGTGTTTCATTAAAAAGACAAAAAACCTAAACGGGACAATCCATCGTAGTCTTCAAAGATGACAACGCATCTATATTTTGATTCTCAATTGAGGATACATGTAAATGTCTATGGGCCACAGCACCCACCACCAGGTGGACTGTGTGCTAGTTTGTCACTCCAGTTCTAGATATGGTTTATATTATGGTGGAGCAATATCATTGACTGAGTTTGAATTTAAAGAAATCAACATATAGAGGATATTTTTCATTATAACCATATGTGCTAGAGCAATGTTGCATCCATATTATGGTTGTAGCACAAATTGGTCGGCTCGAACGAAGAAGGACCACGATCTCACAAAATAGCATAAAATAGCAGCTTAAATCTGATGCGTTTCGTATGCTGAGTTTAAAGAACCAGATAATATTTTTACTGGAAACGAGGTACTCCACGTAGTTTTACATGGGTGACAATGCATTTACATTTTGATTCTTATTCGATTACAGATTCGGTCTATGGGCTATAGTATCAACTTAACATCATGTGGACTGTGTACTCGTTTGTTGGGTGACAAACAAGTACACAGTTTATAGTTTACATAATATTTAATCCATTACACAGTTTATGTTTGACAAACAGAGCACATGTACTATACCATCAACACCAAAACAATAACTGACGCAATAACGTCCAAAAAATGGACGCCGGTTCGCCCATTCACTGACGATTCGGATTGCTTCCATTTGGCGTGGCGCACGTTTTTGACATCGACGGACGGCGACGTCCATTTGGACTGGACGCATAGATTTTAATCCATTTGTAAATCCAGAGCTGGATGAAGTCCATCCAAATGGAGTATGTTTTTACCATTCACGGAACGATTTTGGACGATTACCACTCCATTTGGATTAATGGACGTATTGTCAGTGGGTACCATTAGTGGACTTGACATCTCTTTGAAATATTTTTCTTTTATCTCTCAGGCAGTGCAGGTTTCTTTACGATGTTTTCCTTTACCGTCAAGCACATGATAAATCTGTACTTAAAATTGCAATTAATAATTTCATTAGTCCCAGCGGGGATCGAACCCGGGTTTCTCGCGTTCTGTGAAATTTACAGCGTGCGCTTAGAGCTACCACGGCTCTTGATGTTTGTGTGTTTTTCTTTATTTTTTATCATTTTTAAATTTGTTTACTGGATAACTGGGAAGTATTAATAGTTTTAGAAGGTTTCCAGTTTTAATAATAGTTTATGCAAAAAATATTGTAATAATAGATACAGATTGTTTAATAAAAAATATTCAATCCAGTATCAATATCCAGGAAGAAAACAGAGAGATATGTTAGTTAGTTTAGTTTAGTTTGCGACGGGCTGTTTTCCGCAACTCCACGTCTATGCGCGTATTTTGCGTGTGGGCAGGAATAATGTGATTATTCGAGCCATGAGATCTCCCCGAAGAAGCTCAACAGTCCCTTGATGTTGCATGCAACTTCGGGGAGTGATCCCGGCGTGCCGAGATGTTTAGCCCTGAGAGATATGTTATAACGACTAAAAACAGCCCGGAAATTCTCACAAAAGCAAGATTTCTTAAATTTAATCGATTGTTGATATTTTATTGATCTCTCGTTAGTGTTGTTAATAAAGTATTTTATGTGAAAACTGAAATTCCGCATGCTGAATTCAAGCTAATGAACATCCAAAAACTTATACAGTTTTGAATATTTGTAGATACATAATTTTGTAACTTCACAGATAAATTTCAACCAGGATAAAATAATTTTGATAATCAAGCTCATGGATGTTAAGTAATCTTGTCTGATTTCTATATTTTATCATAAAGGCAAACAAAAGAATTTAATTTATTTGGAGATATATAATACTTTGAAGTCTTACTTCTTAGTCTTAGTCTTAGTCTTACTACTTATTTGCTACGACGTGTATTACGAAGTGTGTCAGATAAGAACGTTGCTTATCAACATTTTAACTGAAGCTAACATTATTAGTCATAATTTTACTAATAATTTAATAATCTTTACATGGTCTATTTTTTATTTCATTTTAATAGCGTTGATAAAAAAATTTCATGCTTTTTTCATTATTAACACTTATTTAATTGAAGGTTATAGTGGCGGCGTAGAGAGCCGTGGTAGCTCAGATGGTTAGCGCTCGCTGTATATTTCACAATACGGAGCAACCCGAGTTCGATCCCTTTTATTGAAGTTTTAAGTTCCGATTTACCACCTACTTGTCGGTGAAGGAAAACATCGTGAAGAAAAATATTCCCAAGACATGTGAAGTTCGCCAGTCAATGGGGCAGCGCGGCGGACATTTCCTTGCCCTAAAACCTTAAGAAGACCCTCTTAAAAATGAGAGGAGGCCTGTGCCCAGCAGTGAGACGTATATAGGATGTAACTTTTAGTGGCGGCATAAGAAATTTCACTACCCCATATCATTCCGTGGATGTCGTAAGAGGCGATAGGGGGAAATGAAATAGGAGATGGTGCTGCCTGTTTTTGAATTTCTCTAAATTTTTTTTTGTAAATGTTACATCCACAGTAGGATTTTCACCTAGGGTAAACATCTAGACCCGGCCATACAAATACTTGTTCCGTAGCTTAAAAGCAGGTTTTCTAGCGGTGGTTCTTAGAAATGTTTTATCAAAATCGGCTCAGCCGTTTGAAGATAGTCATTTTTTTTGTTTCGAGGGTTTTTTAATTTTTTTTTTGTGTCTAATAGCCGATGATCCATAGACTAAATAAAGTGGTAAATTTTAGGTTGTTGGTGAAGTAAACGAGACAGTGAAGACTGGATTATGGATCGGGGATTGCTTCATTTACACAAACTCCGTCAACCGTATCAACTATTATGTTGGTGGCGAGATTGTCACTATATCTCATTTGGACCACACCATGTACATTCTTGGATATGTTGCAAAGGAAAACAGGTAAAAGAGAAACTAATAAACAATATAATATGCCGTAAAAACACTTATTAATTTTTTGTTATTATTGTATTTATCAGTTCTTGATGTCATAGTATTTTGATACCTGTTTGACAGGTATCAAAATACTAAATTTATTTATAATGTTACATCAATCAAGATCTGAGACACTGTAGTAATGAATTTATTAATAAATATTCGTCAAATTCACATTACAACTACACATCTAGAAAAAATAAACTTTGTAGAAATTTGTCAAATTAACTATTTCAGATTGTATTTACTATTTCAGATTGTACCTAAATGACAAAGAGCTAAACATAGTGTCATATTCATTGTTGCTGCCGGTACTGGAGTACCAGACAGCAGTAATGCGCGGTGACTTCGAAACCGCCGACAGAGTACTTCCCACAATTCCATACGACCACCGCACTAGAGTGGCCCATTTCCTTGAAAAACAGGTAATGTGTCTAAAGAAGAAAATTACATTTCAGCAATGCTTAAGGCAAATCTTCTTTATAACGGGAGAGGCTCATGACTAGCAGTTCGCTCTTACAGAGCGATAAAGAAGAAAGGAAAGAAAGAATAATAAGGGTGCTAAATAACTTACAGACCCTCTATGATAAGTGGATGTGTGAGATTGATTTTGCCCAGTTACACCAATGTTTTGTCAGTGTCCGATTAGTATAGAAATTGGATCAATTAGGTAGAATATTCTTATATCATATAATATTCATCATATAATACGGGGATAGATCTAAGTTAACAAAAGAGTTAGTACTCTGTAGTCAAGTCAGGTCAATAAGTAGTCAATTTTTTTAAAAAAATTGTAAAAATTGTATGTAAAAACATCATTGTTTACATTTAATTTATCAACTTGGTATACTCATCAGGCCGCCACCCTTTTTATTGGAAGTTCACTCCACTTTGCTTAATTAATAATAAATATTATCACGAAATAATCATTATTTATTTTTTTAAATATCAATCTCATACTCATGTGGTACACTTTATAGATTGAATTACGAATTGAATTTTATGTCTGTGTAAAAACTTTAATGACGAAATATCTATGTAATCAAATTTTACAGCAGAGATAAGCAACATTATTTGTGAGGGAGTACCAGCTTTGTGCTCGGCAACCATGCGGGTTGTCAACCCATCCATCCATCTCCAGTTTTACTCTGTCGCCTTTTCCGACACCCAAGGGATGTTAAACGTAGTGTAGTAGATTCTTATCAGAAACCGCTACACGGCGGATAATTTAAGTAAAGTTACTAACTTGATGAATAATTTTAACAATACTTACAAACATCTTTTCTTCCAGGGCTATAAGCAACAAGCTCTCGCTGTGTCAACGGAACCAGAGCATCAATTCGAATTGGCTCTGTCCCTTGGCGAGTTGAGCCGCGCGAAGCAGTTGGCTGAAGAGGCGACTGCTGCTGAAGGGGAACCCTCGCGTTCTTCAGCCGCACGCTGGTCAAGGCTGGGATCTGCGGCAGCCGCTGCAGCTGATACAGAACTTACCAAGATCTGCTACCAAAACGCCCATGACTACAGTTCATTATTACTGTTCGCAGCTAGTACTGGTGAGTAAATTACTCTCATGAAGTTACTTCTTACAATTGGCTGAATAAGTTGTTCAAGTCGTTTTAAGAAGTCCGTATAGGCAAACATTTAATTCTAAGTCGTATTTTGTAAATGTAAATCTGCGCTCGCTGATATTTTACGTCATAATTGCAGTTATTATAAAAAATTCGACTCAACTTACTGTGATATTGTATGCCATTGCATTTTACCGAAGGGGTGCGTTTGGCAGAAAAAAGCGCTAGCAAACACAGAAGAGTTATATTGCAATATTAGTTTTAAGAATATAATGACATGAATAAACATATACATGTTATTAAAAATTCATGATTGGTTTTAATATGAATACTTTACAAACATATATTTAAATTAGTATCCCCGTTAAAACTAACATCCTACTAAGCCAAACGCATTATTTTTAGTGCACGTGTATTGGCAACATGTACAAAAGCCATTTTCTCCACAAGGCGCACCTTAACTTGCTTTGAAAGTGTTTGACCCAAATAATATGAAAAATTTAAAATTAGGTTGTTATAAATAGAGCAGGTAAGTATTATAACGACCCACCAAGATGATGAAAAAAACTGTGGCAATAACAAATTGTGTCAGAAACTCAATGGTGAGCATTTTAAAGCACCATATTAATTTTGAACTCAATTTTCTTACGCATATTTTTACTATGACTTTTTGTAATCACAATAGGAACCTAAGGTGGTTAATATTTTAGTAAAATAATGAGCGCTAAATAAGATGTTAAGATGATATTATATCTAAATTTAAATAAATAAATGCGTATGGTAGTGATAAATAAAAGAACTAATTCTTGAATGCCAGGCATTGATTTGTAATGTTGACATAAATTGTTAGACAATGTAATCAACTTCAGTTATAGAAAAGAGAAGGATTAAGATGTAGAAATAGAGAGATCATGTAAATGGATAGGATATTATAGGAACGGGTTAAGCTAGTTCGTATTATACTGTGACAACAAGGGTTTATACATATTTATATTTTATCATCATCAATTCATACATTTTGCGATGAGAGTTTCATTAAAATCTGGAAATATGGAACAGTTTTACTCAAGCCGAGGCCAATGATACAAGTTCTGTAATTCTCTTATGAAAGTTTCAAACTGATGAAAGTTTAAGATAATAAAAACTATTAGAGCTTCTAAATAAGCTCGTTTGTTGGCCGATTGCCTTCAAGTAAGCCACATGCTTCGAATGCGCCCAAATCGATGGAATAATTTGCCGCTCTAATCTTGCACGTAATAATCTATGCTCACTGTATTTTTTTCGGGAAGAAGAAGAGCATAAAGAAAGCAGGCTTGAAATAGGTTATAAGTGCACGCTGAATCTTTTTAAAGTAATTAATATCTCAAATAAATGTTGACTAAATTAGTGAGACTGAGACATTACAATACGTAATTGTAAATAACTTATAAATATTAACTAATAACTAATAAAATATTAAAACTTCATCAACATGAACACAGAACACATAGAGCATGTATTTAAACTGTTTACAATGTATGCTACAGAGAGTGGAAACGATTCTACCGCTCTTTCCGTTGGAGAATTTGAAGCGTTTCACTTTTCCTCTGACCCGGGCTAAATTGGCCTAACGTCTAGAGGGGTTTCACTACATATCTACAGCCATGAACTGATACACGACAATTTATTTTCAGGGGATAAAAAGCTTTTAGAAGATGTTGCACATATGGCCGCTGAAGAAGGAGACGACAATATAGCGTTTGTTGCGTATTTCACTCTCAATGAGTTAGAATCATGTCTACAGCTGCTCATCAAGCGCAACAAGTTACCCGAAGCCGCTTTCTTTGCCAGGTTATTATAAATCTTGGACATAAATGTTACATTACACATGGTATTTATATTATTTATTAAATTAAAGACAGTTAAATTAAAGACATTTTTATGACAGTTACGGGGGCGGAGTGCTACTTGTTGGATAGACTTAGACTTGTTCTAAATATGATAAGGTTCGATGTTATTTTTCTATACTATAAAATTTAAGCCAAACTTCCAGCCCTCGAGCTGCCATTTAATTTTTTAGATATATATATTTACATATTCACAAAAGAAATTTATGATTACAAAGAGAAACAAATGGTGTAAGCATAAACTCATTTGAGTTTTTCTGTACACCGTTGCCATCAAGATTAGGTACACAAAATTTTAATCTACATACTACACTAAATTACAAGAATGAAGGTATATTTAATATTATTATAAATTAAAGTAGTTGTATTAAATATTATATATTTTAAAATCTCAAAGTGTGGGTACCTAGATAAAGAATCGAATGGAAAGAAGAAAGTATGCAATGAGCGTATATGTTTCTATATATTGAAACTTATTCAATATCTTGAATAACCGTAATACAAAGATAATTTTAATGTTGTCAAAAGCTAGCACACAAACCATCTGATATCTACATATATCCTTAATTAAGAATCGAAATGCAGATTGCATTGTATATCTGAGGACTAAGATGGAATGACTCAGTTAGGTTTCCAGGTGTTGATGCGTGATCGTACTAATATGACAGTATCCTGACTTAACCTAACCACTGTACAATTGGTAGCACTGTCTTCCATTATCTATTCATTCATTAATTTATTATAGCTTATCTAAAGTCCACTGCTAAATATGAGCCTCCTCTGTAGATTGTCTCATAGGAAGGTATTTGCTATTATGGTCACATTTGTCAAACACTTTGGCTACCGCAGTTTGATTATTACTACACTTGTTGTATGTAGTTAGTGCGTGGTAGAGCCACGCTGCAGCAATATTATGGTTGTAGCACGAATGGGTCGTCTTGACCGGGGAGGGACCACACTCTCACAGAATACCAGCGTAAAATAGCAGCTTAGTACTGTTGTGTTTCGTATGGTGAGTGTTGTGATCCGGAGACCCTTTTTTACTGAAAACGAGACATTACATCTTAGTCCTCAGGGGTGACAACGTATCTGTATTTTGATTCTTAATCGAGGTTAAATGTTGATGTCTATGAGTCACGGCATCCACCAAAGTCAGGTGGACTGTGTGCTCGTTTGTCACCCTCATTCTCTAAAAAAATGCTTTTTTATTATTTTAGATCCTACATTCCGTCGAAGGTCTGCGAGGTTGTGAAACAATGGCGCGAAGCAGTTGGAATCACAAACAAAAAGTCTGGACAGTCCCTTGCCGACCCTGAACAATATGAAAATCTTTTCCCAGAGTTTGCGGTAGGTTTTGGTACTTAACCCGATAGTAAGTAGCTAATGTCGTCCATAGATACTTTCTTCCATACATTGTGTAGTCGTAATCTTTGAGAACTAAGATAACATAACTCACAGCCTGTAATTAATACTGACTATCCATAGTGTTAAGACTATAATACAACAGCGTGCATATCACTACTGTTTTGCACATGAAATAGATAAGAACCTACTAATGTGGGATATTCAGGAAAAGCCCTGCCATCTTGTATTTAAATTTTATTTTTCTAACTTATGAATTTTACACAAATTTATGGATATTGGAATGACTTACAGACATTTTAATTTTTTTTTAAATTGTACAATTTTATTTGAACAGGAGTCACTAGAGTTAGAAACATTCCAGCGGCAGTTCGGGTTCGAATATAGCTGTCAACTGGACAATTTGGAGCCTAATTCTAAAATATGTAATGTCGACCGCAACTTGGCGGAGGAGAAGGCCAATATGGAGAAAATGGGCAAGTGGAATCCATCAAAATCAACCGAAAGGTAAGAAATTGATAATTCATTTTTAATCAAAATTATACAACCGCATATAGCAATTTATCAAATGGCACCTTGCAAGTTTAATAAAAATGGGTACCCATTATTGCTATTTACATAAGCATGCATACTAACAAATATCAAGTTTTTAATTGGTGCGGGTCTTGCAGAACTTAGCTCCAACTGCATGGACAGTTTCCACGAGCTTGTCATTCACTGCATTGCAATCTGTGCCACTAAATCTAGGCATTGGAACCGGTTTTGTAACTCGAGCTGAAAGGTTTCGAGATTCTGGATAAGAGCACAAGGGGGACAGAGCGTTGACTTCATTAGATGAGACCTCTCCAATTTAACGTTTAGGTTCAGTGTGCCTCTAACCATTTGGTGATTGCTGCCAGTTTGCACCCTCACTGAGACATCACTAAACAGTTGTGATAATGAAGTCAATCTCATTTTTTGTCGAACCATCGAGGCTCGACCAGGACCACTTCCTGTGGGGCCACTTCTGGAAGAAAGAGTTCATCATAAAGAGTCCCTCTTTCTCCATGATGTCGGCCAGCTGCTGGCCCCTTGGGTTCCGTTGCCCTATTCCAAGTTTACCTAACTTCAGCTCACCACTTTCTCTTGTATCTAGTTTTGCGTTGAAGTCTCCCATCAACACTGTAAAGTGGGTTTTGGAGCAATGCATGGATCTAGAGATATCCTCATACATTTCCTTCAACTCCTCATCGGGATGTGCCGAGGTTGGGGCGTAAACCTGGATGACCTGCAGCGAATACCGTTTGGTGATCCTGATTATCAGGTACGCGACCCTCTTCGACACACTCAATCTTTACAACATTGTTGACGAGAGACTTGTGGACGATAAATCCGATACCTCCTTGGGACAGATGGTCGTCTTCCTGGTGACAGAACAAGTTTCCGGATTCGAGGATCACCGTGTCCTCCCCCTCTCTCGGACTCCGATAATCCTATTATATGCCAGCGCAACTTGTCTACTTCTTCTTCCGGCTCCAGTATCTTCTCGTCAGTCCTCAGGATGCGTGTGTTATATGTTGCCAGGTCGAGTCATTTTAGATGGCAACCGAACCTCCACCGGAGATTCTTAGCACCCCCTGCCCCTGTAATGTACTAATGACACCGTATGGTCGTCACCGTAGCCAGGAATAGTGTGGCGCCGGTTACTGGGGAGGGATATTTGCCATAGTTGCCACGCTTGACGAGCGGGTTGGCAACCGCAGTTTTTTAATTGTATACTTGTTGTTATCAGGAAGATGCTGCTGCCCATCTTCTGCCTGTCTCCCTTTATCGCCTCTTATGACACCCACGGAAGATTTGTGGTAGTGGATATTCTCAGCTGCCACTTCACGGCATTATGTATTGTATGACAACAATTATTAGGCCTCATTTCATAGACTTCGTTTTAGTCATAAATAACAATTCATGCTGTTTTGTTTGAAATAGCAAAATAAAGCTGAAAAAGAAACAATCTCCAAACAATTACAAAATCTTTTCTTTCAATTTTAACTTGACCTTCATCTGATTTTCATATCACACCTTATCTAAATTGTCTATAATATATTAATTCATCATTAAGTTTATGAATTATTTAACATAATATGATTCTCTTTCTCGTAGTTCAATTCCCTCGAATAGAGAGCCCGCAAGCAAAGATCCAGAGCTACCCCAAGAACCTACACGTAAGCGCAAAGACTCCTTGGACATCATGGAAGAGATTGAAAGGGAAATTGATGGCATGGCAATGGAGGATTCAGTTGATAGCCTGGTATGTTACTTATATTTTTTTTAATATAAATCTGAGGTGAGGGAAGTGGCTACTTCAGTTCAACCCATAGACACCTGGAACCAACTTAAAATCAGGAAGGCTTCAGATTCGTTGTCACCTCTTAAAATCAAAATGGGATGCCACACAGCCAGAAATTAATATCTAAAAAGTTTTCAATTTTTCCAAAAACAAAGGTGAGGAATAAAAACAATTTCTTGCTCACTAAGAAATCCCTAGCCTTGAATTTTGTACTGCACAGTGTACATTATGCACTCAATCCTGCCATGACTTTACCATCTATAGTCTAAATGATTACCTACCACCGTAACAACTTGCACTTGGAGGAAAAAATAATACAAGGTGTACTTGTTTTTTTTTTTGGTTTTTTTTTGAGGGAGGAAGTGAGAGATAAAAGTGTCGTGCCTTTTTTGCTTAAAACTTATTGTTTTATTAAGTGCTGTCGATTTACTATAGTAAATTTTTCTGTCTTGGTGGAGGTTTTAACATCTGTAAATTAGTAAGTGTTTGTAGTTGTTCCGTTTTTATGTAATTTTTTGTTGTAGTAATATAATGGAGGACGAACCTCCCGATCCCGGAAGGGTTCGCAATGATTCCTTTCCTTGCCCATTAACATTGATAATGTAGAACTAATTAACCGTAAACGTGCCCAAGTAAGTAACGAGTCTGCCCATCCACAAAAAATAGTTATTACTGATCCAAATCAACAGTTTCCTTCAATACAATCCTCATATACCCATCCTGATTTTATTAATAAAAAAGTTAGGTACTCTCAAGATGATGCCGCTCCTTTTCTAGTTCACGTAAGTAAAATCTCAAATGATCAGCTGTCTGGAGTAACTCTTAAACCAATTAAATTCGGTAACTTTCTGTATCATAAAAATATTAAAAATATAGTCCATGATGGAGTCAAAAAAGTTGAACGAAATGGAATATCAGTGGAGTTTAAAACAGCAGCAGATGCAAACGCCTTTATCGATCACCCAGCTCTCCAAATTTCTAAATATGAAGCAACCATCCCCTCATATAGTATCACTCGTATGGGGCTAGTTAGACAAGTTCCCATAGAGTGGACACTAAAAGAATTAATAGCAGCTATAGAAATTCCCTCTGGCTACGGTTCTATAATTAAAGCACGGCGACTTAATAGACGATCAGTGAGTGACAGCAATAGCGTTTCATGGGTTCCAACTCAGACGGTCGTTCTAACTTTATCTGGACAAAAACTTCCTCCCCATATTTACTGTTTTTACATTTTTCCACTGGCATAGAGGGGTAAACCTCTATGCCAGTGGAAAAATGTGTTTTGCCACTAATTCAGTGTCAAAAATGCTGTAAATTTGGCCATGTTACTTCCCAGTGCCGATCATCCCCTCGCTGCTTTGTATGTGCACAGAATCATTAAGGTTTATCTTGTACTCGACAAACTCCTACTTGCCTATTCTGCTCTGGTCCCCACACCGCAAAAGACCCTACTTGTCCTGAACATCTAAGACAAAAATCTATTAAACTTGTAATGTCACAAGAAAATATTTCATATTTAGAAGCTTCAGCTAGATTCCCCCAGACAAAAAGATCCTTTGCTGATACAACAAGAATCCAGCCTTGTAATTGTTCTCAACAGACCCCTTATACTTCATAACTGACAGTCTTTCAACCCCTTCGGCTCAGCTCTCACAAACTGCATCATATAAAAAAAAACAATTTTTATCCATCAACGTACCTACAGCCAATCATTAAATTCTGGATATGATATGGCAGCCCATCAGGCAATTGTTGAGAATCCTAATTCTTCCCTTCCTAATGGGTGTGCTCTACTGGGAAATGACAACAACTCCTCTAGTAATGATAATTTCTGCGAACTTATGATATCAATGCTAATTAACATGATCTCCCGTTTTACTGACATAGAACTTCCTCTCAGCTTACACCAAAAACTTACTCAGCTTTCCTCCTTAGCCCGTAACATTCGCAGTCCCACCAATTCTTCAATGGAATTGTCGGAGCATTAGAAATAAAAAAATGAACTCATTTACCTCATTAATAAACTTCATCCCTTCATTCTTGCCATCCAGGAGACATGGCTTAGGCCTGAGTCTCATTTTAGGATTTCAGGCTACACATGCCTCCGGGATGGTAGGAGTGATGGTCGCGCTGGCACCTCTATTTTAATTTCAAGAACAGTTACATTTTCACAAATTCCTCTCCCTTCTCATAGTCCAGCAGTAAATGCTGTTGCTATTAAGGCCCTTGATGTCTCTATTCTCTCTGTTTACATTCCTAATCCTGATGTAAATGTTTTAACAGAACTTGCAACACTTATTTCTTCTCTGTCACCTCCTATGGTTATTTTGGGAGATTTTAATATGCATCATACTGTTTGGGGCTCCCATCTGTGTGATTCACTGGCTCCCTTATTTTTAGATCTTATTGATAATTTTAATCTCTGTATTCTAAATGACGGGTCTCCTACCCGTCGAGTATCCCCATTACAAAGTGTTAGAAGTGCCGTTGACCTAACTCTCTGTTCCCCAGATTTTGCTTCCCTTCTTTTGTGGCAAATATTACCTTCTAACTATGGCAGTGACCATTTTCCTATATTCATTACTCCTCATACAATATATATACATTTTGCCCAAGACTAAAGTATAATCTATCCAAAGCTAATTGGCAATTATATTCTACAGTTTTGGAACAAGAGGTTTCAACTCTTCCCCCAATTAACAATGATAATATTGCTCCTGTATATATAGAGTTCAGAAATGCAATTATTTCTGCTGCTAATAAGTCAATCCCCTTAAAAAAACCTTTCAAAAATAATTATCCTTCCCCTCCTTGGTGGGACCAAGATTGTTCAGCAGCTTGTAGGAGAAAAGCGGCTGAATTAATATACTCCCGTTCTATGACTGCAGAGAATTATATCTCCTATAAAAAAAATTGCTCCAGAAACCTTAAAATTACTGTCAGACAAAAAGCGAACTGGTTGGTTTAAATTCTGTGAGTCTCTGTCACCTAGGACTCCCCCCATCTTTGGTCTGGAGAAATGTTAAAAAATATCGCTGTGCAGTTTCTAGTGAAAATATAATTTCTAATGATCCTTCCCCGTGGATAGAAGAATTCTCTAATAAACTTGCACCACAAACAGTCCCATCTTATGATGAATGCCTAGTTTTTAATTCTGCTTTTTTAAAAACAAATGATAAATTTGATTCCCCCTTTTCTTCTCAGGAATTGTTTACTGTGCTCAATGGCCTTAAAGACTCCTCACCAGGTATTGATGGGATTCCTTATTCGTTTATAATTAATAGTAGTGAGAACACTAAAACTGTCTCTATCCATTTTAAATTTTACTTATATTACTGGTGATCCTCCTGCTGAATGGAAAACCCAAATTATTTTGCCCATTCTCAAACCAGGTAAGTCTAGCAATGACCCTTCCAGTTATCGACCTATTGCCCTTTCTTGTACTTTGGCAAATAAAATCTTGGAACATTTAATAAAAAATCGCTTGGAATGGTTTTTGGAAAGGAATAATCTCTTACCTAAAAGCCAATTCGGTTTCCGAAAAGGTTTAAGTACCATGGATAGCCTTAGTACTTTGGTCACAGATATTCATATTGCTTTTTCTAAAAATGAATTTCTCATAGGAGTTTTCTTGGATATTTCTTCTGCATATGATAATGTGCTTCTTCCTGTGCTCAGGCAGAAAATGCTTAATCTGAGCATTCCAGTGAGGATAGTCAATTACGTCTCTAACTTTCTCTCTTCTAGATCAATATCTGTAAATGTAAAAAAAATTCCTGCTTCCTCCAAAAACTATATGGAAAGGACTTCCACAAGGCTCAGTTCTTAGTCCTCTCCTTTATTCTATTTATATACTCACGATTTAGAACTTTTAGTAAATTCTTTTTGTAATGTTCTTCAATATGCAGGCGATTTAGCTCTATACATCTCCTTAAACAACTTCACAGTGGCATGTTCCCGTCTAAACTCATCCATGGAGTATTTACAAGAATGGTTAACTAATCATGGCCTCTCTTTATCTGTGGCCAAGAGTAGTGTGGTGATCTTTTCCCGCCAATGGCGAGTTCCCGATATATCTCTTGTATATGATAAGCAACCTATTCCTGTTAGAGGCAATGTCAAATTTTTGGGAGTTATCCTTGATTCGAAATTGGCCTTCAGTCAATACATTGAATATATAACACAAAAATGCGAAAAAAAACCATAAATATTCTTCGGTCTTTGTCTGGTGTTTGGTGGGGGTCCCATCCTTTTTCTCAGAAATTACTGTACAATGCTTTAATACGAAGCCACCTTGACTATGGATGTTTTCTGTTGGAGCCTTGCAATAAATCATCCCTGAAAGTAATGAACATAATTTAATCGAAATGCCTTCGCATTATTACAGGGGCAATGAAATCCTTACCAATAAATGTTCTTCAGGTTGAGTGCGTGGATCCTCCTTTAAGATTAAGAAGGCAATACCTTTCAGACAGATTCTTATTTAAGATCTGCCAGATTTCATATCATCCCCTAATTCCTAAATTGCATCTTCTTTCAGAGTATATCTCATCTGACCGATACTGGACCCATAAGGACTCTCTCTGCTTGTTTAAAAGTTTTGTAATTTTTCTTCAGCTTCCTTACCCAATCTTTCAATGTAAAATAAATCCCCTCTTTGATGTCCTTTACGAGGCTATTGTTTACCAACCTGACATTCATCTAGATCTAGGTATAGAAAAGGGTTCTCCAATGGCAAATTTGAAATTAAAAGAAATTATAGAAAACACCTTTAAAGATTGGCTTGTCATGTACACAGACGCTTCAAAACAGTCTGATGAAGACTATACTGGAGCTGCTGTTTGGATTCCTAAGTTCAAAATCATTCTTAACTTTAAATGCCCCTCACTATCCTCCACTTTTACCGGTGAAGCAACTGCAATCAGTGAAGCTTTGTTATATGTAGAGTCACATAATCTTAATAAAACAGTTATTTTCACAGATTCAAAAAGTTGTTTGTTAGCTATTTTGTCCAATCAATTCCGTAACAAACATAAATTTACACTAATTCTTAAAATAAAAAATAGCCTATTCAGATGCCATCTTAAAGGAATCCATGTTTCAGTGGCCTGGATTCCAGGCCACAGTGGTATCCATGGTAACGAATCAGCTGATGTACTCGCTAAAAATGCAATTGCTAATGGCATTCTTCAAAATTTAATTTACTCACATGACCTAATTTTGCTAGCTAAAAGGAAACTGAATGCAAATTGGAATAAATTATGGGAAGTTTTCAAAAATGTTAAAGGTAAGCACTATGCTGCCATCCAAGAGGTTATTCCTCCCAAGCCCTGGTTCTTTAAATTTAACAAAGCAAATAAACATGCAACTTCAATCATTTGTAGATTAAGAATTGGACACGCATGTACACATGCACATCTGGCAAAAATCAGAGTAAGGGATAACTCATTGTGTGAATGTGGCTGTGGCTTAGATGAAGGTTCCACAAACCATATTTTTTTCAACTGTCCCAAATGTTGAAATCCCAAAATTCCCAAATTATCCTCCTCCCTTTATGATTACCTTCCTCCTTATATACCTCGACCTATAGATTTTAATTCTCTTTTAACATATACCAGTACTCCAATATGTTTAATCCCATGAAACTTTAAATCCTTGTCACGTTTAACATATTGGTAAGAGTCTAACACCTGTGTTTATCATATTTGTTCTTGGTAATTCAACAAATAGATTTGTCAAAATTCTCGGAGGAAAACTGAATCCTTGTATTATCACACTGTTATTTAATTAAACTCATAAGCTTTCATTTTCCACTCAATACGTCATTGGCGAATTTTATCAAACCGCCACGAAAGAAAGAAGAAGAAGGTGTACTTAGATGTAATTTTATTTTAAGGGGTCTAAATATTCAATGAATCTGTTTCTGTTATTTGCTTGTAGTTTTTAGTTTACAAGAATTAAGTGTCAATCATCATTTGAAATTTTCCATTTTTCTAAAAGATTTTAATATTTAGACATATTTTTTTTTTATAGAATACGGGTAATAAATAGGCACACAGTTCACTTGAAGGTATGTAGATGCTGTGGCCTATAGACATCACCTATCTCAGAAAAAGAAAACAAAAATCAGATGCGTTGTCGCCACTGAGGACTAAGATGGAATGCTTTATTTTTAGTCAAATGGCTCTCTGGTTCTCTACATACACTATATTAAACACGGCACCATTAAGCTGCTATTTTACGCTGATGTTTTGTGAGAGCGTGGTTCTACCCTGGTCGAGCTGACCCATACGTGCTATAATCATCATAATATAGCTGCAGTGTGGCTTCTACGAATCTCAATATATCATGCCATGTCGAATCCTAAATGTAATTTTTTTAGTATTTCTTATATATTAATGTTTTTCTTTTCAGGACCTCTCTGATGAAGCCGATCTAATTGATTAATATTTAAGTATATTATATTTAGTGTTTTTTTTTAATTTTATTTCGATCATAAAGAGAATTTACTTTCCATATTATTTTATATAAATTTTCATCATCAAGTTTTCGTTTTTTTTTTCGTCACCATTGTTTTGAATTGTAAATGTACAAAGCATATATACATAATGTACTATTTTAGGGTAAGGTGGAATGGTCGTGCTGGAATATATTAAATCTGATCATATACTCATCGTATTGAGATATATGTATTTGGGTTTAAATTATACAGTCATGATTTCTGCATATTATCATGTTGAATATTTTCTCATATTCACAATAACATTTAGTAACATAACGTAACATAAGTATTTTATGTAATTAAATAAATTATAAGAAATAAGTGTATAATTCTTTTTCAAATCTAATATATCACTTAAGAAATAATTACACTTTATCATTATAGCCACGCAGACTATCGAAATAGCGTGCTTAAATGACATACATTTACTACTTGAGTAATTGCATAGTGTTAAACACCATTGTATATTTTTGTTATAATGTAGATAGGTATTTAAATTAAGAAAAGATTGTTCATTTTTGTGCAATGGTTATCATAGGCAATTTGTAGGTATTTATAAAGTTAATTACCTTAAAGATAATAGTTTTAATTATTTAAAATAAAACATATTTTATTATTATGTCGTACAACAATGTTTGGCACTTTCTTTTTAAATTAGATCTTCTGGCACAAATTCTTTGGTCTAGTAGTCTTGAGCGCGACTGCTGAGCATGTGATTTGATCCTGGCTTGTAATCCCGTGGAGGGTCAAAGTCAGTTATTTTTGGGTTTTAGGATTTTTTAGTCAAGAAATACTCAGTAGCAGCCCGCAGTCAGAAAGTTGGGTGATGTTTCACCCCCGTGTCTCGGATAGGACGTAAAGTCGTTGATCTTGCACCTAGTTTCTTTCCGGTCAATATTTTTATGGAATAAGGATGACACAAAGTCCACATGAAACTAAGTGCGTGCTGTGGCTCAAAGACATTTAAATTTATTCTCAATTAAGAAACAAAATGCAGATGTGTTGTCACCTCGAGGATTTAAGGTGAAAAACTCCACCTGATAAGTTTCTGTGCAAGAATCTACATCATCCTCATAAATCAAAATGCAATGTTTTCACCCTGAGGACTAAGATGGAATGCCTCGTGTTCAGCGTCTCCGGTTCTCTCCACTGATCATACGAAACACAGAATAATGTAATGTAACAAACTAACAAAATATCAAGGTAAAATAGCAATTTTATCCTAGTATTCTGTGAGAGCGTGGTCCTACCTGGTCGAGCCGACCCATTCGTGCTACAATCATAATATAGTTGCGGTGTAGCTCTACCACGTAGAATTGCCTTGAAATGAGGGTAAAGAAATAAAAAATGCACTTGTGAATACTCATGTATTATAACCCTATCCTACGTAAATGGCTAATACCCGTTAAGACTGACCGCCGTGACCGAAATTCGGTCTGAAGGATATTGTTTATTGGACACAGTAACACTACCATATCTTAGTCTGAATAATTAATATGTATACTATACAGATCAAGCAGTTGGTCGGGCAAGTAGATGAGTTTGTATATTTGGGATGTGTATTCAGCAGTTATGGGAGATATGATAACGATATAGAACGACGAGTGAACGCAAGAAATAAAGTAAATGGGGTTCAACACTCTATTGCGGAAAGTCAGAATGTGGCAAAATAGGCACGTATGGTAATTATGGTACTTCACAATGCTTTGTTAGTTCCTACTTTAACGAATAGAAAAACGTATGGTAATGAAAGTTGGGTGTGGCAGAAAAAGCACGAGAGTAGAATATACGCAGTTGACATGTGGTTAAGAACCCTCTTACGTTTCGGCGTTATGCAAATTTAGGTTTTTATGCACCGAGCGGGCGACGAACTACGCGAGCGGTACTTTATTTCATATCTATGAACTCGTTCGCACTGTGATACTGTGCGTATAGCGACTGAACGATCTTGATCTTCCATAATACAAGTTTTCTTGGGATGGAGTTCAGTGGATGGAAAATTTTTGGTGTGTCATTTTTAAGTTTTATAATTAATTTATTATAATCTATTTTGATATATTTTTCATTATTTATGAACCTTAGTGTTGAAATCAGTGCACATAAATATTTTAATTGTTACGCAGTAATCGATTGTTAACCGATGTTGGTTAATAATCAAATATATTTACTAATGGTACCATAGTGGTATAAATAAATAAATAGTACGGTTGCAACCTGTTTTAATAAATAAAACGACCAAATGTAACCAATATTTTTTAAATCGGTACTTATAGTGAAGTGAAGTGGCAATGGGCCGGCCATATAGCTCGAAGAACTGATAACCGATGGGGAAGAAAAAGAAAGGTTCTCGAGTGGCAGCCTCGTACCGGTAGGCGTAGTGTAGGGCGACCCCCCACTAGATGGAGTGACGACCTGGTAAGACATGCAGGAAGTCGATGGATGCAGGTGGCTCAGGACCGTGCTTTGTGGCATACCTTGGGGGAGGCCTATGTTAAGCAGTGGACTCGTGAAGGGCTGCAATGATGATGATGATGATGACTTATAGTCATTTACAATATTTTTTTATTTTAAAAGATATTTGCCGCATCGGCATTGACCGAGCTTATCTCGAGTCGATAATTGCAGGCAGTACACAGTTTTCATAAAACGTAGAAGCGTTTTATGAAAACTGTGTACTGCCTGAAATTATTATACTTGGGTAACATTCAAAATCCAAAATTGATCGTCTTTGCAGATTTTTAGTACTTTTACTGCATAATCTGGGCCAGTCCATATGGCAAGCATGCAGACATTTTCCATTATTATTTCGCCAGAGATAGGACATTTCTTTTTTTACGTTTGGTGACGCGTTGATACTTGTATTTATCTTTCCCATTGCGACTGGTAAGAAAGCTCAGCTACAATCAAAATAACTGTAATGAGTTAACTATCTGATACAATAATAATGTGCGAACTTTATACTAATTAAAATATACTGTACGAAAGTAAATACTTCCAACGATCAAAAACTGCGATCGTAGTTGACGATGCTTTAGCACGTACAAAATAGCCAATCCTATGTTCCAAAATAGATCCTAGTATACTGGCGAATGCATAAGACGTAATTAATCGACGCTTTATTGTACTGGCGTGTCGCTGCCATATTGTGTCGGATATCCCGCCATATTAAAACAATTTTTAATTGTGCGTACGCTGAATGAAGCATGCCAGAATTTGTTTTTATTTATTCAAATACAAAAAATGGCAGAGCTTACAGTTAAACCTTTACTATAAAAGAATGAGAAATCATGCTCATTCTTTGTTACTGAGGAAGAGCGGTCAAGAGCATATTCAGGTAAGTTATAGAATTATTGTATTTAACCTAAAAATAAATTATTTGTACGAAATGATGTTAATTTTTATTTCAATTAATGTTTCACAGAGCCAAATTACGGTGTACGTTTGCAATATGGCGCAAATGTATGAGGTCATATACTGGCTAATGTTTTGATGCAAATCACCAGTATGGGCGTCGATTTATGACGTCATTTGCATTGGCTATTATACTGGGTTCTATTTCGGAACAAAGGCCAAAATAGCAGCGCCTATAAAGCAATCGACCACTATGGATAATGCGCGCGAAATCAAATGACGCGGGTCCAACCTCGACAAGTGATCGCGCGATAGTGAACGCCGGCGCAGTGAAATATATGGTACTTTTATTTAATTAATTAAAAAAATAATAGTAACGATTTAAAAAGTAAAAATCATAGTATAGTTTAAGCAAATGTTGATGATTATTTTGGTATAAATTTTACGTCAAAATGATGTAAAACTTCGGAGACATTGAGGCTTGTATCGAAGCTATTTCGATCGTTAATTGAATTATGTTGATTTTTTTTCTGGAAAATGTATCCTATCATTATTACATTATAGGATATTTGTGAGATAAAAATATTATTTTTGATGATTGACATTCAATAGAATTTACATGAATAAACATGCATCGGGAGAATGATTATTACTAAATAAATAAATAAATTATCTAAAATTTGCCTTGAGCTTATTGTAGTAGAGAAAGCGTACTATTTTACCAAGTATAATTGTTATTTCAAGTAACGAACGGAAAACATATTATTTCAACGAGGAAACCTTGTAATTTCGCGTTTTTTTGTAATACTCTTCTTAAAGAGTATGTTAGGGCTGAATCTGAGTGACAGGATGAGAAATTGTGTGATAAAGTATAGAAGAGTATGGTTTGCAAGATGATGTTGTGACCAGAATTAAGAAAGGAATGCTTCGGTGGTTTGGTCATATAGAAAGAATGAATGAGGAAAGAGTGACAAAGCAAATTTATATTGCAGAAGTGAACGAAAGAGTTGGAAGGGAACGCCCTAGGCGAAAGTTTATTGACCAAATTGGCGATACATATTAAAAAAGATCCAAATTAAGAGTTTAACAGCCGTCGGTTACATTTTAAATGCTATACTTCGTAAAAAGTGACCGACACGGCAGTCAAAGACTTAACCGACGAGCATGTATGTGAAGGTATATATATGGATGTGGAGGAGGCGAGAGAGCTGTGTCAGTATCGTGCCAAATGAAAGTCTGTACTCTCTGCCTACCCCTCTGGGTGACAGGCGTCAGTGTTTAAGTATTTACTATACAGATATAGTGCCTTTTACCTTCCACCCTCCATAGTAACGAAGAAGTATATAACCTGTTACGGCCAATTGCTAATGGCCTGGAACCTTATCACATTAACTTTTGAAAATATTTGTTAGCGGAGGAATATGATCATAAAAATTAGAAAGTTAGAAATTGTTTTTTTTTGTTGGTTATTATAGGAATAAACCAAAAGTGGTAGAGTGACCTTTTTTTTTAAAACTATTACACGCCAGTGATTGGCTATACTATACTAATCCATCTGATGGTAAGTGGTGATGCTGCCCATGATAGTAAAACG